TTGGTTTGGTTTGGTTTGGTTTGGTTTGGTTTGGTTTGGTTTGGTTTTTCTAGACAGGGTTTCACTGTGACAACCTAGCTGTCCTGGAACTCTCTCTGAAAACAAGGCTGGCCTCTAACTCACAGAGATATTTCTGTCTCTGTCTCCCAAGTGCTGGGAGTAAAGGTGTGTACTACCACCCAGCTGTTGTTGGTTGGTTTATTTTTAACAATTCCTTTCTTTCACTGGAATTTTCCCTTTGATATCTGCTGCTCACTTCATCCCACTCTCTTCTCAAATCTTACATCACCAGAGAAGTTTCGAGTTCCCCTTGACAAAGCAGCACCACTGCCCTCCTACAGCACCATTCTTTGTCCCATTTCTGGGCTTTGTTTTATTCTGCAGCAGTTTCACAATATCTGCACATTTTATATGTATTTGTATATAATAATTTAGTGGTATATGCAGTCCTAGCTTGCAGTCTAAAAGATACTGGAATCTTGTATATTTTGATTCCTTTTTATTTTTTTAAAGTCATGGCTAACCTGGAATTCACTATGAAGACCAAGCTGGCTATGAACTTGTGGTTCTTCTGCCTCTTCCTTTAAATGCTAGGATTAGAGATATGTACCACCATACTCAATCATAATTAATGACCAAAAATCAAAGCAAAATTTAAAAAAATATATACCATGGTCTCTTGATCAAGAATCCATGACCTTACCAGCCATAGACAACCTTTGAATGTGAACTCCAGGACAGCCGTGTTCATTTTTATAAACATTTACCAAAGCACTACTGAAAATCAAATTTGAATAAGACATAGATAATGTCCTCTTAGAATTCAAAGTTCAATGCAAGAGAAATCACATAAAAACAAATAGCAGCAGAGGGAGACAATCCTCAGAACAAACAAGCACACAACATGTATAGTGTTCAAGTGTCTGTGTTTGCATACCTGAGAATGATACTAACATGTAATTGCGTGATCACAGGAATATCTGATGGTGGACTCCAGTAATCCTGAAGACCTTTCATGGGAACTCCTGGCTATCCTAAGATGTGTTTCCCTCGTAGTTCAAGCTGATGTTTTTGGCTTCCTGCCTTAGCATTGCCTTGTATATAACTTCTTATGCATTGCAGATCTGAGTGGCATTCAAAGCATGATGCATGGCCATGACATTTTTTTCTAATGATTGAACTTTGGCAGCACCTTTTTAGTCTCTGCTTCTACAAACAGTTTCTATATTTCTTCTCAAGAGGTGACTATTCTGTTTGACATTATGGCCCAGCAAAGGAAGAGGACCCAGCAAAGGGAGACCACCCAGCAAAGGGGGAGGACCCAGCAGAAGGAGAGGACCCAGCAGACGGAGAGAACCCAGCAGACGAAGAGGACCCTGCAAAAGATGAGAATTCCTGACAAGTGGAAGAAATAAGCAAGAAGAGAACAGATCACCCCTAATATCCAAAAGCCTTATAAAATGTGGCACTGCCAAACTGTAGTCAGGAGATCTTTGTTTACTTTGTGCTATCTGGACCAGAGTTAGAAAGAAAGAAAGGAAGAAAGGAAGAAAGGAAGAAAGGAAGAAAGGAAGAAAGAAAGAGAGAAAGAGAGAAAGAAGAAAGAAAGAAAAAAGAAAGAAAGAAGAGAGAGAGAAGAGAAGAGAAGAGAAGAGAAGAGAAGAGAAGAGAAGAGAAGAGAAGAGAAGAGAAGAGAAGAGATGAGAGGGAGGAGGGAGGAGGGAGGGAGGGAAAAATCCCACCACTTCCCCAATCCTGCCTCATAAAATATGATAAAATATCAACTCTTAATTAAAAATTGTACCTCCAGATTCTGTCTTCTATGCCTGGAAGTACCTGGAAGTCATGACTGTCCTCATCCTCTGAACATTCAGCACACATCTGGACCGTGCCTTGCTTTTAATAATCAAGAATTTTAGTAATTATTTAGTCCCATCAATTTCCTCGAAAATATTAGCTGGAATGATTAGCAAAACAATGAACTTGAGGAGCTATTGACAATTCATAGCTGCTGAGGGAGGGAGAGCCAGTTTTCTTTAGGGGTATGGTGCTTTGTAAGTGAATCATGCTCTAGGAGATGTCTCCACATCCAAAAATATATGACCATTGCAAACTAGATTCAAAGTATTAAAAGAAACTAAGAAAGGCAGGAGAAACACAAAACTGAGTGGGTCAGAAAGGGGTTGGTCCTGAGAGGAGTTAGAAGTTAGTATGGTTGAAATATATTGATTGACATTCTCAAATAATCAAAGAATGCACTCGAAAAAGGAAAAATGCAGCAAGAATTCACTGAACAAGGCAGGCCATGTAAGCTTTTGATTATTAATCTGTACAGTAAACCAGGAAGATAGGGAGGTTTCACCCATTTCACAAATAAGGAAGACGGCTCTGGAGAGAGTAGTAGAATGACCAGCACTTAAACTATACTTGTGTAGCTCCGGGGGTGTGAACTTAAGTGGAGCCCTAGGGGGAAAGTGAGGAAAATATGATAAGAAGTAAAACTGCCACCACTATACTGAAATTGTTTATAAATGCTTCGCTTTTCAAAATGTCTAGTATCCAAGGAATAGAAAAAGAAAGAAAAGGAAGAGGAGGATGATATGAAAATGAGTAAGCAGGAAGAGACAAAAACTGTTAAGATTTGGGTAAGATGGCGCCCCAGAGGCTGCCTACGACTTATTTTGTGTCTTTTAAAGTGGCATGGGGGCAATTCTAGATCCAAATGTCCCAGTTCTGGGCCTACTACTACATTCTGTGTGTGGTCTATGAAATGTTGCTACATGACCATATACACGTCCATGTGATTTTCGCTCGTTCTTATGTGAATGTTAGAATACAATTTGTATTATGAAACATTTCTCATATAATCTACCTTTTCCTTCTTAGTTTTAGAAGTGTCTTTTTGTATTTAAAGATATTTCCTTTCTTTTTATTTAATTTTTCATTGGTTGACTAGCTTTGAGTCGTTCTTGCTTATCCAGGCTTCTAGTTTGTTTGATTGTTTGTTTGTTTGTTTTCATCTTTAACAATATCTTTGTCCCTCATTCTCTCTGGATTAATGGTTCCATTGGGTTTGGTTGTGTTCGATTACTAGGTCTTTGATGTCTCCTTTTCTCTCCCATAATTTTGTTGTTTCCATTCCATGCTATTCTATATTTCTCTAGATCCTGTCTCACTTTCATGTTTTTAAGTCAGAATTTCATACCTGAATGTGTTTGATGATTCTCAATGTGGCACAGTTCTGCATCACAATTTGATTGAATAGAATCCATCTTCTATTAGACGGTTCAGAATGCTTTTCATAGTCAACAGACCCTGAGGGTCACTGTGTCTGAAACCATTTTTCTGTGAGCTTGACTTGAGAGTGCAGGTTAGCCAGTCAGAAGCATTTCACAGGGCCTTCTTGGAACTCCTGCTTCTGCTGATGAATGCCTGATGGCATCCCAGGGTTATTTTTATTTGTGGTTTGGGTTTTTTTTTCTTTTAAAGTAGGCTGTTTCTTTATTTTGTCTGAAGTCAGTGTGGTATTTTTAAATTTGTTACTAAAGTTGATAACACAAATTCCAAGTGTCTACCAGGATCTTTGGATATACAAATTGAGGTCAAATTTTCAGATAGTTTTCTTGGATGACAGATTCTGTTCCAGCTTTTCCTTTCAGTTCTTCATTAATTCCAGTTCTCAGAACTCTGTTTCATTCTTGCTTGTTTACTAGGCAGTCTCCTCATTTTGCATTCCATTATTTGGTTAGTGTTTCCCAGACTGCTTTTTTTCTAACTCCCAATTTCTTTGACTATATTTGCAGTTGACTCTATTCTAATTAAGCACATTTCATTTTACCATCAATTCCAAAACAACTTTGTTTTGTTTTCTTTTTTAATTTAAATAATTTATTTTTTTTCACAAATCATAATTCATTCACACAGGGGTTATAAACACAGAAAGGCAGGATGTGGGGAAGGGAATGACACTGGAGTGTGGGTGTTCAGGGGGAATACAGATATCTTTCAGAACTGGGTATCAGCTGGGTGAAGGTTCAGGGGACAAGTCACTATGACTCTGCCTATGACTCACTTGTCCTTATCTAAGTTGGTATTGTCTGCCCAGGCTACCTATTTACAAGGTCTATGACTACTCAGGCTTGTAGATTTCCACAAAAGCTGCCTGTTTACAACAGCTTACAACTTTGTTTTTTAATTCATATTATTTTCTGAGTTTTGTTGACCCTAATCATCTATCTTGATTCTGAGCTTTTGGATTTCTTATTTGCAAGCATTTTCATATTGACTTGTGTTCAATTTCAGTTGGGATAATGTACCATGTTTCTTTTTCCTTCTGTCTCATGGATTGTTTTAAAGAAAGAATTTTCTTCTTTTCTTATATTCAGTAAACAAATTATTTTCTATTTATTTCTCAATGACTTATTTATTCTCAGTTAAATTGTTGTATGTGGGAAAATGAAGGATTTAGATGAACTACTAGAGTCATTTTTACAAAAATATTATTTATTTTGCTATAATGACTTCAGGAACTTTTAATCAATAGCTCTTATGTCAAATGTCCCTATACTTAAATTGATGGAGATGAAAATTTGGTGTGTCTTGTCATCTAGTGGTCATGTGCTGTTTCTGAAACTTTGCTTATTTACAAACGTTGCTCTCGTCATTTAGCACCAAACCCAGATGTATCGTCCCTCTCCAATGAATTAGCCCTCCCTCCCCCCCAGAAGCTGCTCTCCACTCCACACACTTTATAAAAATTCTCTGTGGGACAAGTCTCAAGTAATAAGTACTTCAGTGCCTGTGTCTCAGATCTTTCTCAGTCCCACTACACCGCACTACAGTTCTTTATGGGGGTGCTAGTATTTGGTTCTTCTCTAATTCATCTTTTTAAAATAACAGTAACATCGCTTTTATTGATTTTTTGGTTTTTTATTGGATATTTTATGTATTTACATTTCAATTGTTATCCCCTTACCTGGTTTTCCTCCCCAAACTCCCTATCTCATCCCTCCTCCCCCTGCTTCTAGCTCCCGCTTCCACCCACTCACTCCCATCTCACCTTTCTGGCATTCCCCTACACTGGGGAATTGAGCCTTCAAAAGACCAAAGGCTTCTTCTCCTATAGATGCCAGACAATGCTATCCTCTGCTACACATGCGACTGGAGCCATGGGTCTTTCCATATGTACTCTTTGGAATGGTGAACACACTGAACTCTTCCAGCAGATTTCAGATCTTCCCCAAGTGCTGACGCCTTTCCTTCTCTATGCACTAGTTTCTTATTTCTGTGTACACAAATCACCTCAAACTTAGTGGCTACATTCAATATGATTCTAAAGTCAGACATCTAAAGTGCTTCGACTGAGTTTAAAAGCAACATGTCAGCAGAACTGGATACTTTGAGAGGCTTATGTGAGAACAGGTTTCCTCCTTCCAGATTCTAGAAGCCACCGCATTCCTTGATATGCAGCTACATCTTCCATCTTCAATGCGAGAGGCTTAGTCTTTCTCATATGGCGCTTTCTCTTCTCTTTCTCCTGTGTGTATCCTTCCGTTGGGCTATGTTTCTTTGGGTCCATAGGTCGGAGAGGAAGTCCTTGGTCCTGTGAAGGTTGGATGCCTCAGTGTAGGGGAATTCGAGGATTGGAAGGAGGTTGTAGGTGGTTGGGTGGAGGCACATCCTCATAGAAGCAGGAGGAGGGGAGATGGGATAGGGGGTTTCTGGGTGGGGGGAAAAGAGGGACTAACATTTGAAATGTATATAAAATATCCAATAAAAAATAATTAATCTAAGAAAAAACAAAAAAAAACACCACCAACAAGAAAAAAGATAATCTTTCCATACCCAAATTATCTGATTATCAGCCTTAATATATTCTACAACTTGAATTCTAATTTTTTGATTTGTAACAGCTAATGTATTTGTAAAATACAGGATTGGTTTGTAGATATCATTGAGGAGGACATTATTCTGCCCACTATAACCTATTCAAACAGAAACTGGAGTTTGTAGGACTCCAAACATAGCTTATAATTCATTCATTTGCTTTTCTCCTTGCTGTGCATAGCTTGGAAGTGGATATGTCCTACTTAGGCTTTAGGTAGCTAACAAGTTTGTACCACAAACTTGACTCACCCCATCCACTCATTACTTCAAAGGTTTCATATCGGGTACCTTCGGCTTCCTGTTTTATTAGTTTTTTGTTTTTGTTTTTAATAGTGATATGTGAAGTAATGAGTTTAAACATGGGATTTGAATAACCACTTTGGTTTTGGTGATCTTCTTCCCTCATCCTGTTCTCTAGTCCCTTGTGCCCTCCTGCTCCTGCTGGTCCCTTCTCCTCACTGGCTTCTTTTCTCTGATGCCACACATATTCTATTACCCTCTTGTTTTCTTCCCCCACTTAGACTCATTCCCCACATTTTTATGACCTACATACACAGACAGAGAGAGAGAGAGACAGAGACAGAGACAGAGACACAGAGAGATGCTAATATATAAAATAATATATAGAGAAGCATGTAGCAGTTGTCTTTCTGAGTGTGAGATGCGTGGTATAAGATCATGATTTCAAGTTGCAACCATTTTCTTGTAAAGATCATGATTTCTCTTTGCTATGCAACTGAATAAGATTCCATTGTGCATATGTAGCCTATTTTCTTTATCCATTATTCTGGAGGTGGACATATTCACTGGTTCCATTTCCTCCATATTGGAGCAAAGCATCAATAAGCACGAATTTTCAAAAGTCTCTTTGGGAGACTTAGAGCCCTTCAGCTATACCCAGGAGTAATATAATGATGTCAAATGAAGTTCTGTTTTTAGGTTTTTGAGAAATCTTCATATGGATTTCCATAGTGGCTGCACAAGTTTCCGTTCCTAATGACAGTGAAGAAACGTTCCTGTTTTCCCACATTCTCACTAGCATTTGTTATCATCCATTTTCTTGGTGACAGCATTCTGAATGAAACCTATTCTGGAGGAAAATGTCCTGCAGGCTGTTTGTTTGTTTGTTTGTTTGTTTGTTTCTGTTTTTTTTTCTAATTTATTTTTTCTCAAATCGTAATTCATTCACACAGGGGTTATAAACACAGAAAGGCAGGATGTGGGGAAGGGAATGACACTGGAGTGTGGGTGATCAGGAGGAATACAGATATCATCAGAACCGTGTATCGGCTGGGTGAAGGTTCAGGGGACAAGTCACTATGACTCTGCCTATGACTCGCTTGTCCTTATCTAAGTTGGTATTGTCTGCCCAGGCTACCTATTTATAAGGTCTATGACTACTCAGGCTTGTAAATTTCCACAAAAGCTGCCTGTTTACATTAGCTTATAGCCATCTGTTTCGATGTTTTTCCACTGAGACCCAAGACTTGGTGTTAGTATACATGTATGACAGGTCTATTGCTGATTTTAGGCCTATGGCTGATTTTAGGCCTTCAGTGGGTAAGCAGGGCTGCCCCTGACATCTCCTCCCTTCTCTAAGTATAGAAGGGCTCAAGTCGGGTGTCATTTATCCCTGCTACCACCTGATCATAGTCAGTTCTTTTTATTACAGATTTTTAAATATACCAACGTGCTCTGGCAACCCACAGCTGAATTATGTTAGAATATTGTTCTATGTGTCTTTCTAGGCACAGGGGTTTTCAATAGGAAAGGGTTATTTTTTATACATTATTTTGTATGTATGGTCTGAAATGTTATGACAGGTGATGTGCTATTCTATTCAGGACAGTATTAGTATCATTTCTACTATATACACTGAGCTCTCAACATGTCATGAGTGATTACTGGAGCTCAAGGGCTGAGACTAATAAGTTGACCAAATCATAAAGCTAATAAATACTAGTGCTTTGAGCTTTGAGCTTTGAGCTTATTCATATCTACATGACTAAAGAGCTATTTTCATATTCTCCAAATACATTTTTAAAAAAGTAGTTTGATACATTCTTAGGACAGCCAAACAAAGAAAATTCCATTCTAAGAAGTCCCTAAGTCTATTGTTGGCTCCTCAATGACACCACATAGCTGCCCTGTAGACCAGATACTCACCTAGATGTAGAAAGAGGAAAAATCTGAATTACAGCACAATCTACTGCTTAGCATTTTGATTAGTAAGCAAAGAGCAAAGTTTTTCTTGTTTCCCGAAGAAGTCAGTCTGAGGGATGGAGAGAATCTGAAGATTGCCAGAGGCTCAATGATAAACTCTAGAAAAAGATAGTCCTCCCTATACTAGTAGCCATGATGCATTGAATAACCCCCAAGGCCTTCTGAACAGGTCTACATAAGACACCTGGTTCTTATTTTATTAAAATAAACCAAAAACCCCTGAAAATGTTTGGGCTCAAGAAGGTCAAAATTGAAACACGAATACTATAGCTGAATGAAAATTAGCTTTTAAGTATAATCCACTAGGAATTCCAAGGAATACTATTAAGGAGAGAAGGCTGATTATATTTGTACCTGATGGTAAAGTAATCAGAGTCAATGGTGTCTGCATATGCTGGTAAGTTTGATGCTAATTTGATAAACCCGGGGTTGTATTTACTGTCTTATGATGACATCAAGCTTAGAAAAGCCAGAAGGGATGGGGGAGAAGCATGTCTCTTTAAAGTTAAAACCTCTCAATTCCTACCTTTTTATTAAGGATAAGTTGTCCTTATTCAAGGGGAGTTATAGAGGTTGAAGAGATGGCTCCACAGGAAAGATCACTTAGTACTCTTATAAAAGACTCAAGTTCAGTTCCCAGTACCCATAGTAGGAGCCTCATAACCGCCTTTAATTCAAGCCTCAGAAGATCTGATGCTCTCTTCTGGCTTCTGAAGACATCCACACTATCACACACATCTGCATATAATTAAGAAGAAAATAAAATCCTTTAAAAATTAAATAAATAAAAAGAAGCTATGAATCTGCAGTCCTGGAAAACTGTTGTGTTTAACATAATCATTAAGATTTCCAATAGCAATAACTTTATGGTGACCACTAATCCCTAAGATTTATACTTAACTATTAATAGAAAGCAATGCAGAGTTAAGTAATATATAAACCATAAAATAATTAGAATGCAGAACACATCTGTGCTATAAAACACAAGGGAAACTGCAGAGTGATAAATACTGTCACTCAAAATCAAGTCTGTTCTGCTAGTGCCAGAGAGGATGGGATGAATCAGCATGCCTCACTGTACAATACAGCCACACTTCACTGCAAAGGCCAGTTCATTATGGCGCAGGTGTCATATGTTATCTCCCACTTCACCATAGATAAAACCAATCGAAAATAAAAGAGACAAAAAGGAATTTTGTTAGCTGTGCAACTCTTTCCACACACTGTCTAATTATTCTAAGATGCATTAACTCTTCTGCCTCTATTTCCACATTCTTTTTTTATCTTTAAAAAATTTTTATTAAACATTCATTTCAATTATATTTCTAATTCCAGAACCCCATATCCCATCCCCCCACCTCCTGCTTCTATGAGGATGTGCCCCCACCCACCATCACCTCCTCCTCCCCACCCTCAAATTCCCCTACACTTGGGCATCTAGCCTACACAGCACCAATGACCTCCTCTCTCACGTATGCCGGACAAGGCCATCCTTCCCAACATATACATCTGGAGCCATGGGTCCCTCCCTATGTGCTCCCAGGCTGGTGATTTAGACCATGGGAGCTCTGGTTGGTTGGTATTTTGCTCTCCCTATGAGGCCACAAATCCTTTCAGTTCCTTCAGTCTTCTCTCTAACTCCTCCATTGGGAACCCCATGATCAGTTCAATGGTTAGCAGTAAGCATCTGCCTCTGTATACCTCAGGCTCTGGTAGACCTCTAAGAAGACAACTATATCAGGCTCCTGTCAGCATGCACTTCCTGACATCCACATCAGTGTCTACCTTTGGTGACTGACTGTACATGGGATGGATACCCAGGTGGAGCAGTCTGCGGGCCACACCTTCAGTTTCTGTCCCATACTTTGTCTTCATATTTGCTCTCATGAGTAGAGGAAGGCTAATGATTTGTTTGAGTTTCTTTTATATCCAACCACTTTGCTGAAGTTGTTTATCAGGTTTAGGAGTTCTCTGGTGGAAGTTTTGGGGTCACTTAAGTATACTATCATATCATCTGTAAATAGTGATATTTTGACTTCTTCCTTTCCTATTTGTATCCCTTGACTTCTTTTTGTTGTCTAATTTCTCTGGCTAGAATTTCCAGTACTATATTGAATAGGAAGGGAGAGAGTGGGCAGCCTTATCTAATCCCTGATTTTAGTGGGATTGCTTCAAGTTTCTCTCCATTTAGTTTGATGTTGGCTACTGGCTTGCTGTATATTGCTTTTACTATGTTTAGGTATGGGCCTTGGATTCCTGATCTTTCCAAGACTTTTACCATGAAGGGATGTTGAATTTCATCAAATGCTTTCTCAGCATCTATTAAGATGATCATGTGGGTTTTTTTTTCTTTGACTTTGTTTGTGTAGTGGATTACATTGATGGATTTCTGTTTATTGAACCATCCATGCATCCCTGAGATAAAGCCTACTTGGTCATGATGGATGATTGTTTTGATGTGTTCTTGGATTCTGTTTGCAAGAATTTTATTGAGTATTTTTGCATCAATATTCATAAGGGAGATTGGTCTGAAGTTCTCTTTCTTTGTTGAGTCTTTGTGTGGTTTAGGTATGAGCGTAATTGTGGCTTCATAGAATGAATTGGGCAATGTTCCTTCCGTTTCTATTTTGTGGAATAGTTTGAAAAGAATTGGTCTTAGGTCTTCCTTGAAGGTCAGATAGAATTCTGCACTAAAACCATCTAGTCTTGGGCTTTTATTTTTGTGGGAAAACTTTTAATCACTGCTACTATTACTTTAGGGGTTATGGGACTGTTTAGATGGTTTATCTGCTCCTGATTTAACTTTGGTACCTGGTATCTGTCATTTCATCCAGATTTCCCAGTTTTGTTGAGCATAGGCTTTAGTAGTAGGATCTGATTTTTTTTTGTATTCCCTCAGTTTCTGTTGTTATATCTCTCTTTTCAGTTCTGATTTTATTTATTTGGATACTGTCTCTCTGCCCTCTGGTTTGTCTTGCTAAGGGTTTATCTATCTTGTTGATTTTCTCAAAGAACCAGCTCCTGATTTTGTTGATACTTTTGTATAGTTCTTTTTGTTTCTACTTGGTTGAATTCAGCCCTGAGTTTGATTATTTCCTGCTGTTTATTCCTCTTTGGTTTATTTGCTTCTTTTTGTTCTAGAGCTTTCAGGTGTGTTGTCAAGCTGCTAGTGTATGCTGTCTCCAGTTTCTTTTTGTAGGCACTTAGAGCTATGAGTTTTCCTCTTAGCACTGCCTTCATGGAGTCCCATAAGTTTTGGTATGACGAGCCTTCATTTTCATTAAATTCTAAAAAGTCTTCAATTTCTTTCATTATTTCTTCCTTGACCAAGTCATCATTGAGTAGAGTGTTGTTCAGTTTCCATGTGTATGTGGACTTTCCATTGTTTTTGTTATTATTGAAGAACAGCCTTACTCTGTAGTGATCTGATAGGATATAAGGGTTTATTTCAATCTTTTTGTATTTGTTGAGGCCTGTTTTATGACCACTTATATGGTCTATTTTGGAGAAGGTACCATGAGGTTCTGAGAAAAAGGTATATTCTTTTGTTTTAGGATGAAATGTTCTATAGATATCTGTTAAATCCACTTAGTTCATAACCTCTGTTGGTTTCACTGTATCTCTGTTTAGTTTCTGTTTCCATGATTTGTCCATTGCTGAGAGTCGGGTGTTGAAATCCCCCACTATTATTATGTGATGTGTAATATATGCTTTGAGCTTTAGTAAAGTTTCTTTTATGAATGTAGATACCCTTGCATTTGGAGCATAGTGGTTCAGAATTGAGAGCTCATCTTAGTAGATTTTTCATTTGATGAGTATGAAGTGTCCTTCCTTATCTTTTTGATAACTTTTGGTTGAAAGTTGATTTTATTCTGTATTAGAATGGCTATTCCAGTTTGTGTCTTGGAACCATTTGCTTGGAAAATTGTTTTCCATCCTTTTACTCTGAGTAATGTCTGTCTTTGTCACTGAGGTGCGTTCCTGTATACAGCAAAATTCTGGGTACTGTTTATGTATCCAGTCTTTTAGTCTACGTCTTTCTATTGAGAAATTGAGTCCATTGATGTTAAGAGATATTAAGGAAAAATGATTGTTGCTTCTTGTTATTTTTGTTATTAGAGATGTAATTATGTTTGAGTAGCTATCTTCTTTTGGGTTTGTTGGAAGATTACTTTCTTACTTTTTCTAGGTTGTAGTTTCCCTCCTTGTGTTGGAGCTTTCCATCTATTGTCCTTTGTAGGGCTATATTTATGGAAAGATATTGTGTAAATTTGGGTTTCTTATGGAATATCTTGGTTTCTCCATTTATAGTCATTGAGAGTCTTGGCTGATAATTGTGTTCTCTTAGGGTCTGTATGGTATCACTCCAGGATCTTCTGGCTTTTATAATCTCTAGTGAGAAGTCTGGTGTAATTCTGATAGTTCTGCCTCTGTATGTTACTTGATCTTTTCTCCTTACTGCTTTTAATATTTTTCTTTGTTTTGTGCATTTGATGTTGGATTATTATATGACAAGAGGTATTTATTTTCTGGTATTGGAGTTCTGTAGGCTTCTTGTATGTTCATGTGCATCACTTTCTTTAGGTTAGGAAAGTTTTCGTCTATATTTATGTTGAAGATATTTACTGGCCCTACAAGTTGGGAATCCTCACTCTCATCTATGCCTATTATCCTTAGGTTTGGTCTTCTCGTTGTGTCCTGGATTTCCTGGATATTTTGGGTTAGGAGCTTTTTGCATTTTGCATTTTCTTTGAGAGTTGTGTCAATGTTTTCCATGGTATCTTCTGCACTTGAGATTCTCTCTTCTATCTCTTGTATTCTGTTGTGATAACTTGAGTCTATGACTCCGGGTCCCTTTCCTAGGTTTAGCATCTCCAGGGTAGTCTCCCTTTGAGATTTTTTTTATTTTTCTACTTCCATTTTTAGATCCTAGATGGTTTTGTTTAATTCCTTCACCTCTTAGGTTGTATTTTCTTGCAATTCTTTAGGGCATTTTTGTGTTTACTCTTTAAGGGCTTCTACCTGTTTACCTGTGTTCTCTTGTATTTCTTTAAGGGAGTTATTTAAGTCCTTCTTAAATTCCTCTATCATCATCATGAGAAGTGATTTTAAATCTGAATCCTGCTTTTTCAGTGTAATGGGGTGTCCAGGACTTGCTATGATGGGAGAACTGGGCTCTAATGATGCCAGGTAACCTTGGTTTCTGTTGCTTATGTTCTTGCGCTTGCCTTTTACCATCTGATTATCTCTAGTGCTACCTGCACTCACTATCTCTGACTGGAGTCTGTCTTTCCAGTTATCTTGCTTGTGTCAGAACTCCTCAGAGTCCAGCTGTCTCTGTGATCCTGTGATCCTGAGCTGCTGTGTAGGAGAGCTCCCTGGTAGAAGAGTTCCTGGGACTCAGGCTGCCTCTGAGATCCTGAAATCTTGCTAGGGGTCTGCCCCAGTCAAAAGGACCAAGAGAGGGCAGAAGGGGAGTGGTATTCCGGAGGGTGGGGTTTGGGTCAGTGATGGGTCCTGAGTGCCCCAGGCTCCCAGCTGCAGCTCTGA